ATTGGTTCATTTTATCAGTGCTGCTCCATCACCTAACCCAATTCCAACTTTTGGTAAAAGTTACGGAGGAGGATATGGCGGTGGTTTCGGTGGAGGGTACGGTGGGGGATATAATGGAGGATATAGTGGAGGATGTGGTTATAATTGTGGTGGAGGATACGGAGGCCATGGAGGAAGTACTTTAATAGTTATCAAAAAGGTTCCGTACGGCGGAGGATATGGTGGCTATGGAGGACACGGTGGTTATGGAGGTTACGGAAAAGGATTTGGTGGCGGTCACGGTGGCGGATATGGAGGAGGTTACGGGAAAGGTCTCGGAGGAGGGGGCTGTGGGTACGGAGGTTGTGGAGGAAATATAGGACACGGGGGTGGTGGAGGTTTTGGGTTCGGATTTGGAGGTGGATTCGGAGGAGGATTCGGAGGAGGTGGCGGCGGAGGTGGTGGAGGCGGAGGAGGTGGTGGATGGGGAAAATAAAAATTAGAAAACTGCCAACAGAAAAATAAACAGTTGATTTGTTCAACAAAATGTAAAAAGTTTTGTACATGTTTGTGTTTAGGTACTACAAAAAAAATTAAGGATGTAATTAAATTTTATAAGTAAATATGCATTTTTATTTATTTGCTATTATGATGATGTTAAACTGTTGGGTTAATATGGTGAAAACTACTATTTACATGCTCAAAAGTACCTTCTTAATATCTCTATTTTTTGGAAGGTGGTGACGTCTTTTTCTGTCGTTAATGCAACTGGCTAATATTTCTATGTAAATGTTCATTGAACTACTTTAGTAAAAGGCAATCTTGTACATAAAATACACTTTCAAGTATACATACTATGAAAAGACGTTTTATACATACGAGATCCTCAAAGATCAAAATCTCATTTTAGTTTTATTTGTGTAGGTCAAAACACATAGCATTATAAATAATAAATTTGTTGTTAGTTGACGTGTCGACGTAGTTTAGTTGCTGAATACTTCTAACCTACTCACAATAAGAATCCTACATTGAACGCAAATAACTGAAATTAGCAAAGTAGCTGTCTTTATTAGGTAATTTATTTACTTTAGTCACTCCTTTATTGGCTTGGTAACTAATTTGAACTCGTGTTTGTAAAAAACAAAAGAAAGGAATTTTCAAAAACCCCATACGTTAATGAATCTGCCAATAGAAGAGAATTATTAATCGGTAGCGGTAGCAAGTTGAAAGCTCTGATTGAAAGATATTCCTACATCTATCTATGTATGTACAATACGTATAACCGGTATAAACCCAAGTGTATTGTTCACCTTGTTCTTTAAAAAAGTCAAGGTCCAAACTTGAATACTTGAACTTGTTAACCGTGTGTCGTCTGCGGCTTCTTTATTTAACCACAAAAGGCTTAGCAGCTTTTTAAATAAAATATACCCCTCGCCGTTGACAAAGGTGACCGACCTTCCCTTAATAAAGGTTAGTCAGATGTATGCTTTACTTAATATCCAATGTAGCATTTAAAAGTCATTCTCCGATACTTATGTTATTGTCTACCAAGAATAGAAATAAGTACTTAAGCATGATATTTATGCAAAAAAGTGGTTACATTTATTTATTCGCTAAGACGGAATTCAACATTTATTTAAGGAATTTACGAAAATTTTATTATTGGAGAAAATTACGATAATTAAGTAGGACTCAAAACAAAAAGAACTCACCCCAATAGTTCCTTCTAATGACCTAAAGTATTGAAGAATTTGTAAAAAATTAGGCCCTTAGATTAATCAATTTCGTTTTTAAAAAAATAGAACCACATTGCCCCATGTAAAACGGTACCTATTTATAAAATATTTGGAATATTTTGAAAGATTCCTCCTAGACTAACAGCATTACTCTTTTTAGCTGGATATGGCAGAAACTTCCTGAATCGATTTGACTTCCACATAATGTTCATCATAGTATTTATTAAATAGTCGTGACGGCGTTTTTATGTTTGTCAACATATTGAAAATTATAACTTGTTATGTAAATTAATATTTTTTCAAAGGTGATGATAAAGCCTTTTCTTAGGCATATGTATACAATAATAGGTGTGTTGTGCATTCTTACACTGACTGTCTAATTTTAATATTGTTAATTAATATTAAGTTTAGCGTCAGCAAGAATTATTCAGAATATTAAAATTGTTAATAAAATTTGTGCTGACTAACGGAGAGAGTAAAATTTTTATCGAAAAAAAGTTTGAGCATTCGTCCTTCTGAAGGAAAGCTAAATAATTACATTTACGGCAAGACGGAAACGTACAACGGACCGAAACTAAACAATTTCGCACCTTGTGTCAGATGTGTCACAGGGTGAGAGTGGCTATTTTATGCCGCAGTCTGCCACCCCCATACACGCGGTATAATACAGCAGACATTTGCCTCGTGGTTGCCCCAATCTAGGATTACTCAGCTTTAGCGCAAAAAATGGCTTATTATGCCCCAAGGGAAGAAAGTTCGGCATCCCCCTGGGGTGTAAATTGCCATGCGAGCTAAGGGCGCGGCTGACAAGCTCCTTTCATACAACTTTCTTCCTAAAACCCGCATACGATTTATTACCACACCCTTGTCCCGAAAATACGACTTTTCCTGATTTCAAGGATGAGAAAGTGACTCATAATCCGCCAGGTAGGAAATCCCATTTACTGTAATAAAGGATTTTAATATTCTCCGCGTAGAAATTACCATCCGATCCCAAGGCGATGGTGGAAACTACGCAGAGAATGGAATGGAAGAACCTTTCTCAATAAGGACTAATTGCGATTTCTTACCCGAAAAAAATGTTGAGCTTTGGTCCCTGGAATCAAGGAAAAACATCGTACCTACTTTCAGTATGGATATGGTAAAAAATAGTTTTATTTTCAAGATTACTGGACTGCGATTGCATTAATGTAAATTATTTACGTTGCAACTGTCATATGACATTTCAAATCATCTTTTGAAATTAAAATTTTGTATAAGCAGAATCTAATTTGTGCAAAATAGTAAAGCAGAACAAGTTTATGGATTTAACGGAACTTGTTATGTCAGAGAAGCAACAAGAAGGACGTCTACGTTTTTGTCGAATTTTATGTTGCTTTCTCATAAATTTTCGATGATATAAAAAGGATGACACAGTGATTATTTTCGTAAAACTGTGCAAGTGGCTCTCTAAGGAGCATGCGGTTTCTGGGATTTACGGTAAGCAAAAGATTAAATTTTTTATTGTCTTTTGTAAGTAATAAGTACTAGATTTTTTGTTAAACTTTGTATATATAAAATAATTATAT